TTGTTAGAAGCAGATCCCTTAAGGGATGACCTCCCAGTGTCTTCAATTATTATTTTAAATGATGCCTTAGGCCACTGCCTGGCACAGCAGTGCCCTCACCTTCCCTTCTGTCTTCCAAGCATAGAGCTCAGCTGCCAAGCTGGCTGTGCCCCCTCCTCTCCTCAGAACTGCCTCCAGAGTCCCAGCAGAGAACCAGATTAACCCCTTTTGTTAGAAGAGGTAATTTGCCTGGGTTCAGCATTAATAAGGGATGCTATAAGCAGTTGGGGTCAGAAAGAATAGATCTGTCAAGCCCCAGGGTTAATTTAATAGCAATCTGTTGGCTGTCTGTATTGGATATGAGCTGTGGATCAAAAGCTACGTTTTGCTTTTACCATTTAGTTCTTTGAGACAACAGGGAAATAATTGGGCTAGAGAGCTCTAAAGGACAGAGATGAGAAAATTGACTGTCAAAATGCATCATTCCACTTTCAAGCTAATGCAAGGAGCCCTGCATTGCTCTTCTCTGATCCCCTTCCCACCCAAATGGAAGGGCCAAGTCACATCCCCATAAGGCATCTATCTGTGTGTAGAACAGAGTAAGGGAAAACGCCTGGGTTCCTAGATGATGCAGGTGGGAAATTTTTTCTCCAAGCTCTAGTGGTGTATATAAGTCGGGCTGCTAACCTCAAGGTCAGCAATTCAAAACTACCAGCCATTCCACAGGAGAAAGATGAGGCTTCCTGCTCCCGTAAAGATTGCAGCCTGGGAAATCCTATGCAGGGTTACTCTGAGTCAGAACTGACACCACGGCACACCACCACCGCCACCACCATCATTCCCCATAAGCCACTGCATTTTGTTCCTTCTCTTGAATGCATTGGGATTCAGCAAATCCTTCATCAGTTTCCAATCTAAGAAATGCTCCACTGGGTTTCTGACCCAGCTTCTAGTTCAAAAAAAAATTCATCAGCTCATAGGACACAAAAACCCTGGGTCAGATACCTTGTCCAAAATTCTGATTCCAAAAAAACTGTCATCACCACTGTGATAAATGAATTAAGAATTAAAGCAGAAGAGATGGAGCTGCCCTCTCTGATGAGCCAGGAGTAGTAGAGTCCCTGGGTCATGCAAATGGTCAGTGCACAACTAAAGCACTGGGCTGCTAACCAAAAGGTTGGAGGTTTAAAACCACCCAGAGGCACCTTGGAAGAAATGTCCTGACAATTTACAGGCAGATCTCATTTCATTGCACTTTGCTTTATAAAAACAACTTGAAAAAGGAAAAAAAAAAAAAGAATGTTTGTGGCAACCCTGTGTCTAGGAAGTCTGTTGACCATTTTCCCAACAGCATGAACTTGTCACATTTAACTTATTAATGTGTCTCTTGTCACATTTAACTAATCCTCACAATATTTCAAACTTTTTTTTATAATGATGCACACTTATTATAATGTATCGCATTTCTGAGGAGCCACTGGTAAGTTTAAACTGCCACCTTTGTGATTCAAACTGACCTTGTGGACCAATGCTTTATCCTACAGCACCACAACAGGATTCCTAAAAGACCACACAGTGTAGTGCAAACATAACTGATATATGCACAGGGAAATCAAAAAGTTATGTGCCTAGTTTTATTGCAACATTTGATTTTTTTTGTGGTGGTCTGGAACCGAGGGTGCAATATCTTAAAAGTAAACCTCTACTTCTGAAAATATCAACCACTGAAAACCATATGGAGCACAGTTCTACTCTGATACACAGAGTTTCCATGGATCGGAATTGACTCTGTGGCAACTTGGTCTACTGCTGGTATGTCGAGAGGGCCAGAATTGCCACATTCAGAAAGGCCATTACTGAGGGGACACAGAGTGGCATGCAGAATGCAAGGTCTGAAGTCAGACAAACTAGGGTTCTAACCCCAGCTCTGCCCCCTACTAGCCATGTGACCTGAAGTAATTTACTTCAGTCAGTGTCTTGGTTTCCTTGTTATAGAAGGAGATGTTAATTGTTCCAACTTCATAAGGCTGAAATGAGGGTTAAATTCGATTCATACAGGTAAAGGACTTAGCACAAGGTAAGCCTAGCATTTGAGAAACTTTATCTGCTGGTCATTGTTATCCTCTTATTAAGTCTTATCCACACGTTATTAAAAACAGGGGCAGAGTTGTGCTGTAGCCCCTGAACCTCAAAGCCAAACCCAAACAAGCACTCAAGTTAAAAAGGAGATTCAGACTTGGAAGGGGGGACATGGCAATACTTGGGTATGAGTGGCTTTTAGAGGTCTGAAAGGATGGATGAACTGATGGATGGAAGGACAGAAGGAAAGATCCAGAAGCATCAGCAGCTTTCGTGGGACTATCTCTGCTATGGCATTCTTGATGGTGGGGGATGTTCCTGGTTTCCTAGTTATGTTTAGGCACCTCGTTTTTACAAGTTCTGACTTTGGGAATTTATTTTTAGACAGGGGGAAAAAAAAGCTGTAACTATAGCACCTCCTCCTCCCACTTAGCGAAGATCCCTTCCAGTTCAGCTTATTTTAAAAGCTATACTGGTAGAGGTTGAGAAAACTGCCACCAGATTTTCACTCTCTATTTTGGGAAAATAGAAACATGCTCACTGGCACAGTAGGATGTGAAGGCTCCGTCTGGAGGATGATGGAATCTGACAACAGCTGAACACTTACCTCTGCTTACCCCCACCCCATGCCATGATCACAAAGGCTAGGCCATGAGTCAGGGAGCTGAAGGGGATACCCCTACTCAGCTTGGAGCTGCCTCCTAATTGGCACAGACCCCAGCTCCCCAGTGTGTGGTGCTAAGTGCAATAATAATTATAACTCCAACAGCAGCTGAGTTGAAAGGTAGTATTTTGTGAATCTGGGTACACACGTACCCTGGAGACCTGTAATATTGGCATCTGGATTTAGTGGGGAAATTGTAGTAAAATATACTGTTAGATCAGTCTTGAGCTCATTTTAAGAGGACCCTAACAGGATTTATCATAGAGAACTGAAGGGAAAGACCGCTTTTTACAACGAATTGCATGTTGGAATCATTGTAGCAGGAGCAGAGGTGATGTTTGATAATAGAGGATTGCATTGTTGTGCTATTGTGACTAAAAACATCAATACATTAGCTTGTAGTCATCTAAACTCTGAGGAGGAGACTATGCTACTTAATGAAATGCATAGTAGACTTTTATCCAACACAGTCTAATAGGAAAGTCTGTAAAAGCTAATGTTTGTTGATCTAATACAGTGTTTTCCCCAAATGTAGTACTTAAACTCTCTCTCTCTCTCTCTCTCTCTCTCTCTCTTTTTCTCCTCTCTCTCGTGCGCACACACACACACACACACACAAATGTTTCTGTTTCCATCAGTATATACTTATTATCATGTAAGGTAAATATAACTAGTTGATGTTAACCAATGAAACATATCCAACTCATGATTTCATGTATATTGTACTACTAGTTACATGAGGCTGGTAAAGAAAAATGAGTCTATTTAAGATTGATCTGAAGAAAAACAAGCAAAAATACTACAAGAATCTGCATGCCGTTGTTGTTAGCTGCCATTGGCTCAGTCACAAATTCATATCAACCCCATGCACAATGGAATGCATGAATGCTTCAGTTGCAGATCAGACCATTGTGTTCAAGGTTTTCATTAACTGATTTTCAGAAGTAAATTGCCAGACCTTCTTTCCTAGTTCATCTACTTCAGGAAGCTTCATTGATACCTGCTCACCATAGCAACATGCAGGCCTCCACGGATAACTGGACAGACAAGTGGTGGCTGTACAAGCATTGCATTGATCTTATGTAGGCAGATTTCCTAAAGCAGCTCACATGTGGCAAATTCTAGGAAAAGTGGGACCTGCTTTGATCAGCTTTACCGTGTCACAGCATTGGTATCATGTGGACTGTTTCTCAACAGGAAGGTTTCTGAGTCCAGAAACTGTCCCCCATACAAGTAGATGCCTTCTTCCTGATGCTTCTACTCCCACACAAGATCTAAAGAGCATCATAGCTTATGGAGATTTGAAGTCTTTTACATCCTCAGAGAAATTCTGTCTGATTATTAAAGAGCACAGATGTGTGCTTGGGATGGAAGTCTAGTGCTGTTAGTCTTTAACCATGTGGCTGGAGGCAACATATGCACGCTGAGCCTCTCTCCCACCCCTGAAAAATGGGGTAAGAGAAAGAGTTAACTACAGAGTTGTAAGGACTAAATGAGATAAAGTGTTTACTATGCTCTGGTAGCATAGTGGTTACGAATTGGGCTGCAAACCTTAACGTCAGCAGTTCGAAACTACCAGCTGTTCTGTGGGAGAAAGATGAGGCGTTCTGCTCCCATAAAGATTTACAGCCTCGGAAACCCTGTACAGGGTCACTACGAGTCGGAACCAACTTCATGGCACATAACAACAACAACAACAACAACAACATGCTTAGCACAGTAATTGACATATAATGAATGCTCAATACATGGTGTGTGTTGTGTTAAGTGCCGTCAAGTCGGTTCCGACTCATAGTGACCCAGCTTTATCATCATCACCATTATTATTAAATATGGTCAGAATCCTCTCATGAAGAGGATTTGTTGTCTCCTGTCAATATCCAGGAGTCATGGTTGAGGATCCAAATAAGTTGAATTATTCTGTTGGAATGGGACTAGTTCCTTAGCACATTTTAGCATGACTGTGTGATCAGATGAATTTGATGGTGAATAAGACAGCTTCTCCATGTTGTGGAGGCTACACTACTGATAAGGAGTCAGGGAGACATGAGTTCTAATCCTGCCTCTGACCACTGGGTGACCAAGAGCTGTTTTCTTAAATCCCCTGAGCCTCATCTGCCCGGGATCAATAATACCTGCTTGTTTTCTCATAGTGTTATTAAAGGGATCCACATGTGTGGGAAACACATGTGATACAATGGTAAGGTGGCATATTACTAGCACCCCTCACTTCCTTCCTCCTCCTCTTCTGGTTCCCTCCTTGACTCCTCTGTGCCAGATATCGTCGACATTAAGCCAGCCAACATGGAGGAGCTCACTGAGGTGATCACGGCAGCCGAGTTCCACCCCCATCACTGCAACACATTTGTGTACAGCAGCAGCAAAGGGACAATCCGGCTGTGTGACATGAGGACATCTGCCCTGTGTGACAGGCACACCAAATGTGAGTGACAAACGAGGGGCAAGGGAGCAGGGAGTGGACGAAGGGGCAGTGGTCTCTGGCATATGAAAGGAGCAAGGAAGGGAGCCTCAGAGGCTGCTGAGCTCCTTTCCTGCCTGAGAAACTACACCTGTGGGCCTGACTTAGGTGTCTACTCAATCTTTCGTGTTTCCAAAAAGATGAAACCCCATGTGGAATTCCACAAATATTTGCTTAGGGTTGTGAAACACCAAGATGAATAAGGCAGGATACCTGTCAGTGACAGGTTTAAATAACAGTCTGGCATGATCCAAACTACATTTTAAGAACGTCTCTTTTGATGCTTGAGGGAGAATGAATCTGGGGAATAGAGGGGGTGGAGACAGTAGCTATATCTAGGCAAGAGACGAGGGTGAGCTGGACAAGTGCAGTGATGTAGAAATGGAGGGATATGGGTGGATGCTAGCCGTATCTTGGCAGCAGAGTTCATAGGATTTGCTGTTGGGCTGTGTGGAAGGCAGAGAACCAACAAGACATTGAGAGTGGCAAGTGGGAGAAAGGTTTAGTGGCTTATTGGAGAGGCTGCAGCTGTGGAACCAGCACTCAGAAGTCACAGTGTATCTGATGGACAGCAGAAAAGCTTCAGAGGAGAAGGAATATTCAGGTAAGGTGCAGGCAGACTCACCTGTCCTCAGGTCTATTGGTAGTTGTAGTGTTTTTACTATTCTTTTTTGAAAACCATGCATTTTCATTTTCTATTATGGTAAATATATATGTAACACATTACTTGCCTTCTCCGTGTTCTTCACATATACAAGTTAGTGATATTAGTTATGTTTCATCACGTAGTTCAGCCATTACTGTTATCTATTATATAATGGATTTGCATCCATTTTCAAATATTTCCATCACCATGAATAGTAGCTCATTGTCCTCTAAGCAGTGAATCCCCCTTTTGCCCTCCTGCATACTTATCCCTGGTAGCCATTAATAAACTTTAGTCTCTAGCCTATAAATGTACATATTTGTCCCTTTGTGACTTGGCTTGTTTCACTCAGCATAATGTTTTCAAGGTTCCTCCATGCTGTAGCTTGTACCACAGCATTATTTTTCTTTATGACTAATATTCCATTGTACAAATGTACCACATTTTATTTATTCATTTATCTATTGATAAACATTTAGGTTGTCCCATCTTTACACTGAACATAGGTATACAAACATGTTTGCATTCCTGTTTTCAGTTCTTTGGGGTATATACCATGGATCACATGATAATTCTGGAGTTCTGGTGTGGCAGTGTAGGACAAACATTGGGCTGCTAACCAAAATGTCAGTGGTTCAAACCCACCAACTGCTTCTTGGAAACCCTATAGAGGGTCGCTGTGAGTCGGAACCAATTTTACAGCACTTAACAACAACAATGGTAAATCTATGTTAAACTTTTTAGGAAACCACCAAGCTGTTTTCGAAGTGATTGTACCATTGTATCCTCCCACCAGTGTTGGATATTGGTTCCAATTTCTCCTCAACCTTTGCAGCACCTGTTTACAGTTTGGTGGTGTGTTGTTGTTTTTTTTCAATTATTTCTCCGCAACCTTTCCAGAACCTCTTTTCAGTTTGTTTGTTTTCAGCCTTGTTAGTGGCATTGTAGTTTTTATTTACATCTTCCTAGTGATTAATATGGAGCCCTGGTGTGATGCTCTACTGCAAGGTTGGTTTGTACTACAATATTGATGGTTCAAATGAGCGGCTCCTCAGAAACCCCATACAGTATCGCTATGAGTCAGAACTGATTCAACAGCACTTAACAAGAAGTCCCTGGGTGGTGCAAACAGTTAAGTGCTGTTAAGTGCTCAGCTACTAAAGGTGGTCAGTTTGAATCCACCCAGTGGCATCTCAGAAGAAAAGTCTGGCAATCTACTGAAAGATCTTGGCAATTACAAACCCCAGGGAGTGCAGTCCTACTCTAAAATAATGAGAAAATCAACCCACAGCAATTGATTTTGTTTCTGAAATCTTACTATTAATCTTCTGGATTTCTAATTTCAGGTTTCATATTATTTCAAAATTTACATTTATTGTGTTTGCTCTTGTAGTGTTTTCCTGAATTCTTCTGAAGTTTTTTCTATGTTCTCCTTCCTTTCCTCAATCCTTCTGGCAATCCTTTGAAGGTAAAAAGAATCCTTTTGAATTATTTTTCAGTTAGGTCCATTACCTTATCTTCCTCTGAAACATTTTCTGTCTCTGCATATTTGTCATTTGTTTGATCCATTCTCTTTTGTCTCCTATATGGACAAAAGATGGACAGGGAAATGGAGATATAAAATAGAAAAAATGAATGAGAAAATAAAAGGAAAAAATTTTAAAACCACTTTAGAGTAAATAGAGCAAAGAGGGGTGGGAAAATGGAGCTATAGAAGACAAAAATAACAAAGAAAATAAAAGGAAGAAATTTTAAACAACAGAAAAAAACAGGGAGAGGAAAGATGAAAAGAGAGTAGAGAGATGTAAAGAAAGAGCAAAAGGTGAAAAAAGAAGGGAAATGAGAAACAGAAAACAAAAAGGAAAAACAAAAGTGGAGATAGAAAGAATAAATTCAAAGGAATACAAGAGAATTAGTAGGAAAAAGAATCAACAAATACAATGAAACAAACAAACAAAAAATAAACCTGAAAACAAAATAACAGTGAAACTTTTGGACCCAGAGAATAAAAATTTCTGGGGATTCCTGCAAGCAAGGGAGCTTATGAGGTGGGGGTGAGAAGGATATGACAGCTGAGTTCCTGTTCCTAGATGGAGTTCCTATTGACCCCAGATTTATCTATGTTCTGGGCATTCAAGCCATAAGCAGTTTGTGGAGGCGCTTGATGGAGTGGATTTCAGTGTCTGTTAGGATCACGTGGTAGCTAGAGGCTAGATGACTGGTTAAATGCTGGTCTGGGGTCTCTGTGGATTCTGTAGGTCTAGAGCAGATCCCACCTGAATCCAGGCGCCAAAGCTTCACACCAAATCAGGGTAGCCAGCCCCCACTTCACACTGGTGTGGCTCCCAATCACATGGCTCTGAACTGGAGAGCAGAGTCTGTGTTGAGGGTGGATTAGGGTAGGCTAAGCACACCTCTGGTCACCAGGGAATCATGGAGAAGAAGAAGGCATTGCACCTTTCCTGTCACCTATGTGAATCTGCTCTGCTAAGCCTCCTTTTGTTGCCAGAGCTGCTCACAAGATGATTGCGCTGCATCAAGCTGCAGTTCACAAGTCAGTCTCCCTCTCTAACCATTCCTGCTCTGATACTCCTTCTATCAAGCACTCAGTCCACTTCTCTAACCTTTCTGCTGAGTTCAGGGTTCCCAAATCTTCATTTATGTGTGTTTTATTTGGTTGTAGAGCAGGGGAGGGGAACATACGAACCACAGGCCATATAAGGCCCATAAAAATCATTTGGTTTGGCCCTGCCAAGGCAACCACAGTTCAAGCCATCGCATTGTTGTTGTTGTTAGGTGCCGTCGAGTCAGTACCGACTCATAGCGACCTTATTATGCACAGTGGAATGAAACAATGCCCGATCCTGGGCCAACCTCACTACTGTTACCATACTTGAGTCCATCGATGCTGCCACTTGGTCAATCCATCTCGTTGGGGGTCTTCCTCTTTTTCTGTGGCCATCACATTAGAGGTGAGTTAGTTAAATGTTTGACAAAATATAGCAGACTAATTTTCAAGTTGATAATTTTGTATGGGCCACAAAATGATGTTATAAATTTTGGCAGAAAAAAAGCTTCCTAACCCCTGTTGAGGAAACTTGGTATCGCATTGTGAATTAATGTGCCGGACTACAAAGTCAGTTTAAACCACAAGATCGGCAGTTCAAGCTCACCAGCCACTACTCAGAAACCCTACACGGGGTTACTATGGGTCGGAATCGACTTGAGAGCACTTAACAACAACCCCTGTTGTAGAGGGTTTGTGTTGTACATCTGCCTAGTCTACCATCTTGCAGCAAGAACCTATTCCATTTCTATGTTCTGGAATAGTTTGAGTAGAATTGGTGTTACAGTTTCTCTGAAAGTTGAGTAGAATTCTTGAGTGAAGCTCTCTGGGGCAGGGTTTTGTTGTTGTTGTTGTTGTTGTTGTTGGGATTTTCTTTTTTTTCCATGACCTCTTTTGTTATTAGTCTTCTCAAATTCTGTTTCAGTTTGTTGTCGTGTAGGTAGGTGTCTAGAAACCCGTTCCTTTCTTCTAAGTTTCCAAATTTATTGGAGTACAGTTCTCCGTGGTCTTCTGTTGTTATCATTTTTATTTCAGTTGGTTCTATTGTAACATCACCCATTTCATTTCTTATTTGTGTTGTTTGCATCATCTCCCATTTTTCTTTGTTAATTTGGACAGTGATTAGTTGATTTCATTAATCTTTCAAAGAACCAACTTCAATTCTTTCTTCTGTTTCCTCTTTCATTTATTTCTGCATTAACCTTGATTATTTCCTTTCTTCTAATGGCTGTGGGCTTTTCTATTAATCATCTGCTATTTTTTTACAGTTGTAGTGTAAGGTGTTGATTGTGGCTCTTTTCTCCTTTTTGATGTGTGTGTTTATTATTTAAAAATTGGCCACTAAGCACTGCTTTTCTGTTTCCCAAAGGTTTTGGATGTTGTGTTTTCATTCTCATTTGATTTTAGGAATATTTTTATTTCTTCTATTGTTATGTTGTTAATTCCCACATGTAGTGACCCTGTATAGGATTTCCAAGAAGTGACTGGTGGGTTTGAACCCCCAACCTTACAGCTAGCAATACAGAGCTTATCCATATTATATCATAGTTTTAAAATCAGGCATTATTTACTTTCCATCTATTTGGGGTTTTTTCCCCTGTTCTTCCTATTAATGATTTATAATTTTATAATGTTTTAACCTGAGAAACTTTATGTTATTTTGATACTTGTTTTGTTTTGGTTTTAATTTACTGAGGCTCACATTGTGACCAAATATAAAAAATAGTTTTTTCTGGAAAATGATTCATGTGC